GCACGTTGTGAAAGCTTTAAAATATACCCTACTGCAGTCAACACATTTTTTAAAGGATCAAGCTTTGCTGTAGTCGATCTAATTGCCTTTAAAAAGTAAAATACCAAAGCTTTCGCATGCTTATAAATATCACAGTCTAATTTTAATATTTACTTTATTGTAAAAAGTGCCATAAAATGAAATCTTAAGCCTCATGTTTTGAGACGCGTCAGCATCCCTACTGCATGGATATGAATATATTCAAATCCAGAAATTAGGCAAAACGTAAGGCAGAACGGTAGCTAAGAGTTTGCATTTGCATCGAGCAACATAATTAAAGCAAGAATGTGGACTGAACATATGTCATTTGAAAAAGGGGGCATCAGTCTGTAGCAAAGCCAGACCACTCCGAAACGCAGCCAGGCATTAACGAGCTTTTAATTTGAGGAAGTTGCTCCGTCACCCCTGGCGCAATCAATGAGGTTGTTAATTGATCTTTCAAGACTTAAAGCTTAAGCTAACAGCTTAACAGCTAACTGAGCCGTTTCCGACTGGAAGATAAACGCCGCGGATAACCGCCCAGCTCCCGGAGGAGTGTCCCCGCCGCCGGCGGAATTTCTGCCCGGCCCGGCGGGGAGGGAAGCGGGGGCCACCGCGGGGCTCCCGGGGCAAGCGCCGAGTGGTGCGGGAGACCCCGGCCGCGCTCGGGTCCCGGAGCTCGCCAGCCTCGGCGTGGGCAGAATGGCACAAGGCGGGAGGGACGGGCCCTCATCTCCCGGTGACCCGGGGGAGGGAACGCAGCGGCCAGGCCGGCCTCGGCGGGGTGCCCTGCAGGGAGCGCGAGCGGGATAAAGAGGGGAGCTCTTTACATCGGTGTTTTGGTAGGCGGTGACCGCTATGAACTGGGTTTCGGGGAAGGTGAAGGTCTGCACTCTGCCCGGCTGGTTGGTGTCCTCCGTCCCGTCTTCGTTCACCTCCACCACATGCAAACGGGGCTGGTACTTGTGGAGGGACTGCAAAACCACCATCTGTCAGGCAGAGGAAAAGGAGGGAGGGGGCCGCGGGAAGAGGAAAAAATTAGAGGGAGAAGGATGGAGAGAACGATGCCCGCGGTCGGCGAGGAGCGGATCGCCTCCCCCGGACCCCCCCCCGCCGCCTCCAGGGCACGGCTGCGGACTCGCCCCACCGCACCGGGCAGCGGTGTCAGCTCGAGCAACCCACTCGGGACCCATGAGGCCCGTGGCAAAATAAGCGAGAGGGCTTTTTCCTCGCTACCACCCATTAATTTTCACCTAAAAACACGGTCTGGAAGACTACACGTCCTTTCGGAAACGGCAGGATTCTGCCTAAAGCAATAAAAATAAGCGTGGCAGGGCGTCTGCGTTTCCTCCACTGACCTGCCCGTTGTTGTTTGATGCTCCTTTATTGTTTGTAAGTTTTAGTTTCCCAAAGGAGATTTCCTGGCGCATCCAGTGGGCTCCCGTATTGGGGGAGTCGGGGTGCATGTACACTCGGTTTCCTAAGCAAAACAACAAAAAACAACCACATCGCAATTATTGCGTATAGACAGGTTCTGTCAGTGTCACACGGGGTCGAAGGACCCCGTTAAACAAAGCAGTATTTTACTGCCCAAACTCAATTTTATCCGAAAAGGATTAAAACGGCGTTTTTCGAACACCTTTTACTTTCTCCTCTACCATTTTTAAATTCTAATTTATTTATTTTTTTTTAATAAAAGGCATAATTTGCTCATTCTCTTTTAAGAAGTCGCCAGAGCCAGTCCGCAAAGGCTTTAATTAATCATTCTCACCTACATAAGTGTCGGGAAAAGTGTTAATTGGAGGAACTTGCCTTGTACATTGGTGTCCGCCTTGCCGCAAGGAACCCATTTGCCTCCCTGAAATCTCCAATGGTTGGGATCCGCCAAAATTACATCCACAAAAATATTGTAGTGAGCCGTGGGGTCGAGACCAGAAATATTAAAACTTAGGAAAGGGAACATGCGCCTATAAAATAGGAAAGGGAATAAAAAAACAACAACAAAAAAAAAAGAGAGAGAGAGAGAAAGAAGGAAAGCAAGGCACGAGCGGCGACAGGCACACGCGGAGGAACCAGCCCCTTGTGCTTTATCCTCAAGGCTCTCGGTAGCGACCGGGAAATAAAAATCAAAAGAAACTCCTTCCCCGAAACGTCGAACTGTCCGCGGGAAGGGACGAGGACGGCGGGCGCGGGGAGCCGCGGGGCG